TTACTGGAGGTTTCAGTCCATACTCAGCTGGGTCCAACGCAGAGCAGCACATAGCAGAGGGCAACCTTTCATGGTGGCGGCAAAGAGCAAGAGAGCAAGAGAGGGGTAGCAGCAGCTCAGGCAGCTGGCTTCTCTTCCCACCTTACATTGTAATGCAAATCACCTGCCCCAGGGTAGGGGAAGTACTCACACCTATGGGTACTTCCCAGTATTTACCCACCTATGGGTAATCCCAGCAGTACTAAGACCCATAATCTCAGCCTTGGATTACACATAATCCCAGTGGATCATGAGTTAACACAAACTCTAGAAGTCCTCACCCCATGACTGCATGAGGCTTTGGGGGAACAACGAGACACAAACCATAACACCACCCCAGACCCCCAAAGATCATGTACACCCCTTTACACAAAAGGCCTTTTAGTCCAACTCTTAAGAGTTGCCAAAGTCCCAACAGTTTCAGCATTGCTAAAAAGTCCAAGTCCCAAGACTCCTCCAGGGTCTAAAGCAAACTCTTAGCCCTGAGCCCCTGTACAAGTGAAAAGTTACACATTTCCAATATTCAATGGCACAAAATAAACATTACCATTCCAATAGGTATACATAGCAGGATATTGTATTGGGACCAAAGCAAGTCCAGAATCCAGCAGGGCAAACATTTAGTCCTGTAGTTTTATGTGGAACAACCAAAGCAATCTATAATGAGTTATGAGCTCCAAAAGCCTTACATGGCTCCACCCCTACAACATTTTTGGTGGTAGCTCCCATGACATCTCTCTTAGGCTGGCTTTTCTCCCTCCTTGCAGTTTCCGTTAGATGATCCACATTCCTGGCTTTTCCAGGCTTGCAGAATTTCCACTAAATAGGCTTCTCACTCACAGCTGTATATACTGCCCTCTCGGGCACACTGCCTGGCCTCCCAGGCCTTCTGAAATCGAGGTGGAAGCCTTCTTAACCTCACAGCTCCTGTACTCTGCAAGTGCCTAAAACCACACCACTTGGATGACGCCAAGGTCTGCTGCCAGCTGGAGCAGTAGCCAGGCTTCCTTCTCGCTTAGCTGTAGAGGTCCAGTGCTTGGATCGCTGAACACTCTTACCTTGATTCTGAGGAATAAATTCTCCATGCTGGCACCATTCTGAAATCTGGTGTGGCTACTGCCGGCATTCTGGAACTTGGGGCTCTGTGGCTTTTCCCCCAAGGCAAAGTCCCTCACCCTTGCCTGTAGAGGCTGCAAAGGGTGGAGACCTGCTGCTTCCTGTGATATCCTCAGGCTATGCTTTCCATTCTCTGGTTCCTTCTGTGAGCAATCCTCTCAGCTCTGTCTTTGCATTCCACAGCTTTATTGGTGCTTCCCTTCTGACCAAACTCACAGCACTTTATATTAGTCTGCTGGGTTCCTTGCTCTTGATTCTGGGCATAAATCTAAAGTCCCCCAACAGTAGTCATGCCACTGTCTCAGTATTTGATTGCTTTGAGATTTCTTTTGAAAGATTAATCAGCCCACCATATTTAATCTACATTTCAGGCAAAGTCTCTGGACTCAAGCAAAATTCAGACAAACTTTTAGCCAAGCCAAAACACACATCATCTGGAGTCCAACAACCAATGTGGTCCTTCCCAGCAGAAACCCCTCTAGCCTGGTTTTTATAGGCAGGATTTCTGTAAGCATTCTGGTCTGAGCTCTGACCAGAATCTCTCATACAGAATAGCCAAAGCTATTCTAGTGCTTCTCTTGTAGGCGACATCTCCAAACCTTTCTTATCTCTTCCCATAAGCCATTCCCAAAAACTTGCAATCCACATGGTCAAGTAGTCCAGCAATGACCTCACTTCTCTGTCTCAGTGTCAAATTCTGTCTCAGTTACTCTTCTGTCGTTGCTGGGACAAATACCCGACACCCAAAATGAAGGAAAGAAAGGTTTATTTAGGTCACAGTTACTAGAGGTTGTAGTCGGTACTCAGCTGGTTCCAAGGCAGAGAGTAACTTTTCATGGCATTGGCAAACAATAGAGAGCAAAAGGGAGGAGTAGCGACAATGGCTACAGAGAGCAAGTCTGTCTCCCTTAAATTGCATTCAGGCCATATGTCTCAGGCTGGGTATAGTACTCATCCCCGTAATCCCAGTGGATCATGAGTTAATCACAAACTCTAAAAGTCCACTCCATGACTGTGTGAGGCTTTGGGGGGACAACTAGATATGAGCCAAAATGATCAGTAACTTGCCCAGGGGCACATGCCAAGATTTAAGGTCTGCCAGCTTAACACTGTCATTTTGCTGGGAGGATCTAGTCAGATAGGGGTTCAGGTAACATCCTGAACCTTTGGGACCTACATAGACCCTTGAGATTTGAAGCCCTTAGTTCTTTTCATTTGGGTTCTGTCCAAATTAGTGGCCAGATGGATCTGTGCTTGACTGTGATCTGGAAGGAGGAGCTGGGCCAGCCGTGGCCTGTTTTGTTTCTTGGTGGAGTCCTAACCCTGTACAGGGGACTTGCTGCCTGTTGTCTGAATGGGGATGTAGTACTCTAGGCTATGAGTATAGGTCAGTGATAGAGCACTTGCGTAGCGTGCATGATGCTATAGGTTAGTGATAGGTTTCAGAGGCAACAGCGATGGCGGCGGTGGTGGCGCAGCAGAGAAGCAGAAATTGGGGGAGGGAAAGCCTTTATTAACTCTAAACACATGGAGAGGACCGAGGGCAGGGAGATGGCAGATCCTTTGACCTGAGACAGGGAGCCTGCAACTATATGGACCTCTGCTAGGGGCGGAGCTTGAGGGGCGGGTTTAGTGACATACAAGGAGCTGATTGGAGGCTCCCTTGTGTGGGCGGGAAAGGTCAAAGGAAGTTGCACCCAGGGCTGGAGTGGGGAAAGATGAAGTGGTCATTGGGAAGGTAAGCTGTTGTTTTAAGAGCTTCAGCCATATTAGATGACCACCATAATAATTCAGCAATTCTTACTAGGACCATAACCTATCAGAGCTGCAGAACCACAAAAATATGTTCCTACCTCCTTTTCAAGTCTTGCTTTAACCAGCATACCTACCCACATCTTGTGACAATTGTGTGTGTCTGGATCTGGTTCTGACACTTGTAGCCAAAGGTCCTGCTTTTGTCAACTTACCAGTCTTACAGGGAAAGTCCAGAATTTGAACACAATTAATTGAATACAACAAGCCAAGGTAGCAAGTAAGGTGACAGGAAATACAAGGACCAATAAATTAGAGAGTTTGCCTGGTTTGGGGAGTGAGCGGAGAGTTAAAATACTAGGGAGAAAGTGGAAAGTATTTGCTGCCAGAGATATAATGGGTGTAAGTCAGGAAGCCAAATACATTCAGGACTCTGACACTGGGGTGTGGCTACAGGGGACAAGGTGAGAGTGTTCAGCTCTCCCATCTGTACCCACCTTGGAGGCTAGCCTCACAAGGCTCAAGTTCCCCCAGTAGTATTGCTGTGGGTACATTGGGGCACTGGGTTGGGGAAAGGTTATGTACCCTCTGGACTGAGTGTTTTGCATAGCTGAGTAACAGATGCTGGTGCAGGTAGGCAGAGGTCTGTGGGCATTGTGGTTGCCAGCCTGGTCTTGGCGCATGGTCAGCCTCTGATGGTAAAGTAGAGTTGCTGGCCCATCAGCTGGGTTTTTGGATTGATTGGTTCCTCCTCCATCCTGGGGTGGGTCTAGTTTGGGGGCAGCCATGGTAGTGCCTGGTTATTGACTCACAGTAGGCTCGAGATGTTGAGAAAGGCTGGCTGGATGCTTAGTCATTCCTGTTGGATGTTCTATGCAGTCCAAGTGTGCTGTGGAGGTCCTAGGAAGGGGCTGTCACTCAGCATTCCTAGACAGAACTTCTTCGGGCATCTGTGTACCCTCCCATCCCAGGACTGTGGGATTTGTGGGGACAGTGGGAGGCAAATATGGGGGTTGTCTTAAAGGGAGGGTGAAGAAGATAGATTTTGTGCATGTTTGAGGCCATTCTTGAAGAAAAGTATAGTTGGAGGTTGGAGTTTTAGGCACAGGATGGTACTTCTGCAGGGGTAGAGTGGGATTCAGGAGCGGATGGGATATGCTGAGGTTGTTGGGGGAAGCCCAGCTGGGAGGTTGATCTGTGATTGCAGGTTGACCTCCAGCTAGCCTTCCTCCCTGGGAGACTTAGGTACATCTGTAGACATGCTCAGCACCAGGAATTGTTGTTGGGTGTAGAAAGGACATTGGAGGGGCCTTGCTCCCCAGGTGGTCTGGGCAGGAAGTTGTGGAGGGTACACCAGGGCACACAGTGGCACACCAGGCTTCCTGGGAAGAATTAGTGTGTGGAGGCAAGGCAGACTGCTATAATAGAAAGCCATCTCTCCTTGTAGTTCCTTCATGTGTAGCACCTCATGTCTGCACCAGTGGTTAAAAGTGGAGATCCTGCCAGGCATGGTGGCTCATGCCTATAATCTCAGCACTTGGGGGGCAGAGACAGGAGGATTGTTCTTGCATTCAATCCAGCTTGGACCTTAGTAGTAAGTTAAAGGCCAGCCTGAACTACATTTAAAGGGGGGCCGAAGAAAATCCTATTTCCCTTCTATATTCCCAGTAGATAGGTCTGGGCTATGTCTGGGAAAATACATTTTTAATAAACACTGTCACTTTATCATAGCCCTGTACTTACAGTGATTTTGATGCACACTGAAGTTTTGAGGCTCCTTCATTATTTTCTGCTACAAGGAATGCCTCTCCCAAACCTGAAGCAGAGTTGGAGTTCCTTGTCCTACACCTGTTTATCAGTGTGGCATCCATCTTTCTGTAGTATTAGGCTTCCTTTCTTAGGCCCAGAGCAGCTGCAGTGGGAAAAACTGAGAGCTGACGCAAGTGGGCATACAGTAGGAAGCTAGAGATGCTGATGCATGGAGTTCTTGCCTTAAGAGGAGAGGGTGTCCTGGTGTCTGGGTCTAGTTGCAGGAGGTTGGGGCTACAGCCCTTGAAACATGCTCAGCTATTCTCACCTCTCTGGGGGCACAGGTTCTGGGCGTGGGGAGGCTGAGACACGGGAGTGCATCTACTACAACGCCAACTGGGAGCTGGAACGCACCAACCAGAGTGGCCTGGAGCGCTGTGAGGGTGAGCAAGATAAGCGGTTGCACTGCTACGCATCTTGGCGCAACAGCTCAGGTACCATCGAGCTTGTCAAGAAGGGCTGCTGGCTGGACGACTTCAACTGCTACGACAGGTACTGCCCAAGCACCCCTTCCTCCGCTGAAGCCTGCCTGTGCTTGTGCTGCCAGCTGGGCTGTGCAGATCTCAGGATGTCAAGTGAGAAAAGAACTTGTGAGGTGGCACTGTGTCCCAAGCCTATCCACAAGAAGCTTGCCCCGTCTTAGCTCTGTGGAGGGTGTTGGTGCATGTCAGCCCCTGGCTGTCACTACTCAGCTTTGGGTTGTACTTTAGGGGATGGATCCCACTATACCATCGAACTTACCCATAACATTCTGTCTGTGGGGAAGAGATTGCACAGGCCTGGGAGGGTCTCTCATTCCCCTGTTGGAAGGGGTGTAAGGAAAACTCTGCCTTTAGGCAGGAGTGTGTGGCCACCGAGGAGAACCCCCAGGTGTATTTCTGCTGCTGTGAAGGCAACTTCTGCAACGAGCGCTTCACCCACCTGCCGGAAGCGGGGGGCCCAGAAGGTGAGGGGCCAGTGGGAAGAGGGGCCCTGACCCAGCAGATGGGGGCCTGTCCTTAGCCTAGAGTGGCTGCAGGGTCTTCTGGAGATGTGGTTGTGGGCGGGCTGTGTGATGCAGGGCTCCATGTGTCCCCCAGTCACGTACGAGCCACCCCCGACAGCCCCTACCCTACTCACGGTGCTGGCCTACTCGCTGCTGCCCATTGGGGGCCTCTCCCTTGTCGTTCTGCTGGCCTTCTGGATGTATCGACATCGCAAGCCCCCCTATGGCCATGTGGACATCCATGAGGTGAGACAGTGCAGGTTTGGGGCAGGGTGGGGCAGGGGAGGTGCATGAGTCCAGGCCAGATGCCCTTAATCTTTTTCAGGACCCTGGGCCTCCACCTCCATCCCCTCTGGTGGGCCTGAAGCCACTGCAGCTATTGGAGATCAAGGCTCGGGGGCGCTTTGGCTGTGTCTGGAAGGCCCAGCTCATGAATGACTTTGTGGCTGTCAAGATCTTTCCACTCCAGGTAAGGGGGGACTCCAGATCGTCCTGCCTTACCATGGCCAGTAATAGGGTTCTCTAACTGGATGCACAGTGGGATAAGAGAAAGTGATCTTACTAGGTAGGAATGGTAACTTAACATCACCCTTGACTGGGCCGAGGATTATATGCAGCTGTAGATTTCCTTCGTAGGACTAAAGTAGGATTTTGCCCAACTTTGATCTGCTTTAGTTTCTAGGCTTTTGATTTTGACATTGTGATCTTAGAGATACTAGGCGTCGTCTTCCGTAGGTCAGACACTTAGCAGAGCCAGGCCTGGCTGTGCCTTTCACTTATTAGGTGATACAACTTATTGCTTCTTGGGACCCACTGGTTTTGTTTATGGATCATGGTGCTGTGGTCACGCTAAAGTGATCTTGGCTTTGCTGTTGGTCTGTTGCTCCAGAGCCCAGCCCTGTGCTGCTCCCTTGTCCCCTTAAGGATGCTGAAGCTGGCAGTCCAGGGTTGGGATAGGGTTAGGGTCTCTGTCCTGTAGTGGGGCCTTGTGGCTGAGCTTTTTTCCACCTCAGGACAAGCAGTCATGGCAGAGTGAACGAGAGATCTTTAGCACACCTGGCATGAAGCATGAAAACTTGTTGCAGTTCATTGCTGCCGAGAAGCGAGGTTCCAACCTCGAGGTAGAACTATGGCTCATCACGGCCTTCCATGACAAGGTAAGCCAGGTCCATCAGTAGACGCCAAGGTGAGATGGAAAGGTCTGCATGGTTGTGTCCATGACGAGGGAGCCCCTGCCACAGATGTTTCTACAGTAACACCTTTTAACCCTGGGCTAATTATTTATGATACAAAGTATGTTTCTACCAGGGCTGGGCTGGTTCCTATTGTACACCTAGAGCCTTTGCCTGACTTCTGTGCTGCCTTCTCTTAGGGCTCCCTCACAGATTACCTCAAGGGGAACATCATCACATGGAATGAACTGTGTCACGTGGCAGAAACAATGTCACGAGGCCTCTCGTACCTGCATGAGGATGTGCCCTGGTGCCGTGGCGAGGGCCACAAGCCATCAATTGCCCATAGGTATGTGGGTTAGCAAGTGTCCTACTTGAACTTGTCCTGGAACAGCAGAGAAGGTTGGTGGGTGGGGACAGAATCTGGGGGTGTGTCACTTTCCTAAACAGGCTTATTGTGTGGCAGAACAACTGGGCACAAAACCTGGCCTTTACCTGTGTCCTGAGAGCTGGCATGGCCTCCTAACCTGGTTTCTGGTGCCCTCTAATGGTGATGTGAAAAGTTACTGACTTCATTACTTTGGGGTGTTGGCTCAGCAGTCAAACTTTTTTGGTGAGGACTCCTTGTACTGTTAAAATGAAGTTTTTCATATGTAGGTCAGTCTGCTGGTATTTGCTGGTGTTGAACACCCACGTTCCATTACCTATCAGAGATGATAGCGTCTGTCATGTAGCCCCAGGAGAAGTCCTCTGTACTCCTGAAAGATGAGCTTAGATTTTGACAAGAGTCTTCTGAAACAGTCCCAGGCACCTTCTGGTGCCCTTGAGGCACCTTTTGAAAATCCCGTATTAGCTAGATATAGGGTTTCATGCTTGTAACCCCAGCACACTCTGGGCAGCTGAGGCAGGAAGATTGTAAGTTTAAGCTTAGTTTGGGCAGCTTACAACCTAGTGAGATCCTGTTTTAAAATAAAAAAGTAAAAGTAGGCCTGGTGATGTAGGTCAGTACAAAGGCTTATGGGTTAAATCCATTACCGTGAGACAAAAACAAAAACAATTCTTGTGTTACCTTACCACCATTGTGCTTTACTGAATGCATACCATACTTTAAATGCTTTGAAAATACCAACTCATCTAATTCTCAGTGCTGTTCTGTGAGATAGAAACTTGTCTTAGTCCTATCTTACTGGTGAAGGAACAGTATTTCAGAGAGATTGAGTAATTAATCAGTATCTCATACTAGTCTGGCTCCATGCCAATGAGGAAGGAGAAGACACCTTGAATTCTAGACTTCAAAGCTAAAAAAGCTGTCATGATACAGAAGGTTAACTGTATGAAATTTTTTAGGTCCAAAGATTGAATGTTGCCCCTTGCATATTTTTCAACTTAAGAGTAATGCAGGGCTGGCGAGATAGCTCAGTGGACTAAGCACCTGCTTTGGCAAGCATAAGGACCAGGGTTTGATCCTCAGTCCTGCAGATCGTGCCATCCCCACCCCTGGGGCTCACTGAGCCGGGGACAGTCTGGGCATGGTGGCGCATGCCTGTAATCCCAGTGCTGGGGAAGCTGAAAGCAGGAGGCTTACCATGAGTCCAGTCTGCATAGTGAGACCCTGTACCAAATACACAAAATGAAAAAAAATTTAAGAATAATGCATAATAAGTGTGCCAGGGTGAATCAAAGCTTTTTGTGTATTGCTCAATTTAATCTAGAGTATGACTGAGACAGTGCTGGGAGAGTTAGAAGACTCAGAGTAGCTCTTTTGGTATGGGGTGGAGCTGTGCAAACACCAGTGTCTTGATCTACCTGCCTGCATAGCTTGCATAGGGTCTTTGGCAAGCTGATTTTAAATTTCTGTTTTCATCCACATTCTAAATATCATAAATTATATTTAGAAATAAAAGTCAATATACCTTCCCCCAACTTCTCTGAGAATGTTTGGGTTGCGTTTTAATGCTTTGGGGATTAGAATAGGGTCTGTCTAGCCATTGGCAGAGGAAAATGGCTTTACCACCTGTGGTGGACATCTTCTACCTAAGGCTACAGGGAATTCCCACCCATGTGTGGGCTCCTGAAAATGCTTCGCCCTACCACAGAGTCTGCACCCTAGATGAGGTTGTAAGACTCAGACTCTGGATCTCAAGAGCAAGGTGGTATTCAGGTGTAGAATGTATTGCCCATGCCATCCTGTTTCATCTGGGCCCACTTGTCTTCACAGGGACTTTAAGAGCAAGAATGTATTGCTGAAGAGTGACCTCACAGCAGTGCTGGCTGACTTTGGCCTGGCTGTTCGGTTTGAGCCAGGGAAACCGCCAGGGGATACCCATGGCCAGGTACCAATCCTGGGTGGGGAAATGAGGGGCATTCAGTTGGTGAGGTGAGGGGCAAGGGTCACTTCATGAAGTCTGAACTCTCAGAGTATAGGGCTCTGTTTCATCTGTGTGGAAAGCAAGGCCTGGAGCTTGGTGATGCTTCCCTGGGCCCCTGGGATTTTTAGCTGCTTATCTTTGTAGTCTCAGTGTCTTGTTTAATCATAACTATTAAATAGGACAAAATAGGAAGATTGATGGACATGATGGCACACTCAGGAGACTGAGGCAAGGGCAATCACTCTGTGTTTGAGGCTAGTCTGGGCCACTTTAGTAAGACCCTGTCTCAACAACACCAGCAAAGTACCGAGATCCAAACCAGGCATCTAAAAAAAGTAACTAAACCCAGAAAACTGTCATGAAACAATCAGCTAATGGTATTTTTTAGTGTTCTTCTTGCTTTTGTTTTTAGTCTTAATCTCAGTAAAATACACATCTTTGGAGTAGTTCCTTGTAGTATTGCTGTAGCAGTTTGCTAATAATTCCATAAAATTATCATCAAATGTAATTTGTAATTCTACTATGAATGCAGTGAATCAGGGCTTCCCATCCCTAGTATCTTACCTGAAATCTACCAGCCTGCCCATGGTGTGTTTACTTATGCCTGGTCAGTCTCTGTAGACCCTGCCCTCCTCCATCCTCATACAGGTAGGCACCAGACGGTACATGGCTCCTGAGGTGCTTGAGGGAGCCATCAACTTCCAACGAGATGCCTTCCTGCGCATTGACATGTATGCTATGGGCCTGGTGCTGTGGGAGCTGGTGTCTCGCTGCAAGGCAGCAGATGGTGAGTGGGATGGTGGCCTTGGACATCTCATGTTGGGGTTCAGGAGCTGCCAGGCCTTGGGGTGATCCCACTAGGCTTTTTTGCCTCTTAGGACCCGTGGACGAGTATATGCTCCCCTTTGAGGAGGAGATCGGCCAGCACCCTTCTCTGGAGGAGCTGCAGGAGGTGGTTGTGCACAAGAAGATGAGGCCTACCATTAAGGATCACTGGCTGAAGCATCCGGTGAGGGGGTTCATCAAAGAAGGAACCTTCATGTATGGGAAAAACCTGAGATCAAGGGGGAGTGAGGCACAGAGGAAGCTGCCATGCTCAATGGACCCTTGGCAGGTGGCTCTGGGTGGATATGGGGAGTAAGGTAGGATGATGCTTCCTCTGGTGCACAGTGTGACTGAGCCACTGTACTTTGGACCTGTTTATTTGGGCTTTGCAGAAGATTTGTTTTGAATATTACTGTGTCTGCTGTAGGAGGGACAGGTGGCTCAGGATGGTGGTTGCCAGGAGGGCAGACATCCTGATGACCACAGCTTGCCCTAGTCCCATCTGGTGAGTTGGGGCTGGAGGAGCTGTCCCCAATGCTCCTCTTCACCAAGGGGCTCTAATGAGGCTATCTTTCCCCTGTCCTCTCCTACTGTTCAGGGCCTGGCCCAGCTCTGTGTGACCATTGAGGAGTGCTGGGACCATGATGCAGAGGCTCGCCTGTCTGCGGGCTGTGTGGAGGAGCGAGTGTCCCTGATCCGGAGGTCGGTCAACGGCACTACCTCGGACTGCCTTGTCTCTCTGGTGACCTCCGTCACCAATGTGGACCTGCCCCCTAAAGAGTCCAGCATCTAAGCCCAGGATGTGTCTCTCCAGACTCAGTGGATCTGAAGAAAATAAGTTGTGTTTTGTTTTGGAAATCTTATAAAACCAACAAACACATAAAATGCAGCTGCTATTTGACCTTGACTTTATTATTATTATTATTATTATTAATATTATTTTTGGATTGGATCAGTTTTTACCAGCATATTGCTCTACTGTATCGCCAACAGCGGACATGTCAGCAGGCGTTGAGGTGCTGAGCTGTGAATGCAGAACCAGCGCCATGCTGAAGAGCCTCAGCCACCTCCTGTCCTTTGGGATTCATTTTTCCCACTTTCTCTTTGTTTGTTGTCTCAGAATCTGTGACACAAAGAAACCCATCTCCTGTCTTAGGAAACTTGATGCTGCAAACTCTACTAGAGGAAACTTTGATGACTGTTACATAACATAATTTCCTCAGAAGAGGATCTCTTTCCCCCTCTGCCCTTCTCCTACCTCCCCACCTTTTATTTTGTGTTTCTCCCTTTCTAGGCAGTGAGTAAGAAACAGCAGATGTATCTTTCACGGATCTAACGGGTGTTGTCCTGACCGAAGAGAACTGGGATGAGGATGAAGGATGGCTTGGACTGGAGTTGGAAGGGCAAGAGGTGTTGGGGTAGGGTTGAAACAGAGCTACACTGGACTCAGGCACATGCAGAGCAACATCCTTTGCTATGGAGGCTACTTCTCAGGTAACCAGGAATCGAGGGCAAGAACCTTGTGGGCCGAGCATTAATGGCAAGTGTGGGGTTTGGAGAAAGTCTGAGCACAGGGGCAGCTCAAGGTTCTAACCAGTTTTTTCCCAATAACTTTTGGGCTTGGTCATAGGATGAAACATTATTTCTGTCCAAATTTTAAGATGAAGCAAGGGCATAAATCATCGTAGTTTAATGAACATTCTTCATAAGACAATTCTATAAATATGTTTAATGGAGGAAATACTGAAACACCCTGTCCTCCTAGAGCAGTTTGCAAAATGCCCATGGGCACCCTGCATAGCTAGGTCTAGCTGAGTGGCTCCTCCAGGACCTGTGTCTCTGGGGTCTTCTGAGCCCTGCGGCTCTGGCCCAACCCACTGTGCTGTGGCTCGTGGATGTGGCTTTCTCCATACCCCTTAAAGTGGTGCATATTCTAAAAACCTTTCTATTTTGCCATAACCTTGCTCTAGTCAGTGAATGTTGCTGATGCTGCTGTTTCGACATTTGAATTTCTTACTTTTTGGAACATACTAAATTTGTTTTCAAACAAAACGTCCACATCCACATTTACACATAAGCTTTGCTATGTGGCTTCCGAGGTTTAAATTTTAAGAAAGAAAATAATAAAACTTCACGACCACAGACCACCTCAAACCAGAAATACCTCAGAATTTTTTCTACTTGTATAAGTTTTATTATGTATTTTGTTAGTTGTGTTGTTGTGTAGTAAGTATACTTTAATGTAAGTTGGTTTTTATGACAAGGAAGTTTTGAAAAGTAGAAAAACCCAGATTTGTGTCTTTTAGGGATTATTATTTTTGTTTGATAAAGCCCTCTTGTAAATAATTATCATTGACTGTATGTAGGTTGGCTGTCTGGGCTGAGTCTGGGCATTTATCACTCTTGTTGGGAAGGCTTTTCCTTCCGGTTTCTGTAGTTTTTTTTTTAAAATAACATCACATCTCTTGAATCTTTATGGTAGGCGAGTTGGTGGGTGAGGGGAGAGCTTGACCTGGGTGAACTAAGGAGACCTCCTTTAGGGCTGAGTGGGGTGCAGATGTTCCCTGTGACTTGATGGGTCAGTATTCAGAATGACAACACCTGAGCTTGGTGGAAATGGCCATTAGGCCCACATGAGCTAATTTTACTTGAAGTTTAATTCTTTCAGTAGCTTAGTGGTGGTGTCTATGAGGAGATGGGCAGCATCTGCCTGCAAGGTGTAACTGTAAGATGGTTCTAGAGGAGCACATCTGCGTGGAGAGGCTTGTTCTTTGCCAGCCCAGGGGCTCGTGGGGGTCCATGGGGTCAGCAAAGTGAGGCGCACTGTGTACATGGAGGTGACTGCTTCTGCTCAGTGTGCTGTGTGTGGTATCTTGGCTTACTGTGGGGTGACTATTGCTCTGGGGGTCAGGGCACAGGGTGTGCTGGAGGAGGCTAGTTTCCTCCCCTCAGAGCTTGGTATTTGCATTTTGGGTCAAAATGTGGTCTGGCAGATGGTTATAGGGACAGGTGTTTTGTTTTTATTTTTGTAAGCTATATTGTCTTTTCCCTCAGAATAATTTTAAACTACGAAACAGGCCTTACAGCAGTTGCTTTTCTTTTCCACTTATTTCTTTAAGAAGCTTTAAAGTATTTATTAAAAAGTGCCATATTCTACTTTCTTTAGCTTTCCTCTCAGGCAGTGGGGGTATGTGTACTTTTCTCCCTCAGAACAAATAAAATTAGGTAATTCACTACAGGAATAATAGATCACCAATCCTATATAGTGCCAAACACTAAACCCCAGCTTTCTCTTTGATTTTAGGTTTCTCTGGGTAGTTTTTCTTATCTCTGCTGGTTGGCTTCATAGAAGTGAATGGCCTGGATGAGGGAGTGTTGAGTGGTAGTCATGACATGGGACCTTCTAGTGAGGCCACAGTACAGCAGGCCAGCCTGATCCCTTTTCTCTGAGTGGCTTCCCTCTTTGCTGACCCTGTGCCTAGATACTGAGGTGCCCCTGTGGAGCCTTGCCATCAGAGTGAAGTGTCAAGTGTTGTACCATTTGGTGGGCTGGGTAATAGGAAAGATTGAAGGTCCATCTCCGTTTCTGGGGCTTTACCCTGTCTCTTCCTTATGTTGTTGTGTAAAATGTGCCCCTCCGATGTATACACGGTTACTAATGATTAGAATGTGGGTGATTTCCTTCTAGGGCATGGCTCTTGGGACCCCTATGCCCAAAGTGTCTGTTCACTATCACATGCTATCTGAAGGGAACCCTAGTTGGCATTGATGATGATGATGATGGTGCTTGAGTCACAGGGCCTCTGCCTGTGCTCTTCTCCATATTTCACACAGTATCCATTTTGGAGGTTCAGAAAACTTTTTTTATTGCCCCAAGTTCTGTGGAAGATAAGTGGCAGTAGGTCCTGTCCCTGCCCATGGGAGGGGTTGTCATGTTCATGGTGAGAGAGGCATGACCAAGGATCCTTGCTCCTTCCTTTCTATTGTGTTGTTGTCTAGCTAAGCAGGCCCTTTGCAGAGACTGTTCTAGTTGGAAGCACTTGTGATAACAGTGTGAAGTCACACCTAGCTAGAGAAATCCAGGGATAAGCCAGGGCAATAAAACACAGGTTAAAAATGAGGGTCCTGCAGATGACCTTGAGGAATGGGTGGGCAGTGAAGTCCATGGTCATAGTTATTGGAGCATCCTGGGAGCATGATATGAGCTGTTTTTCTGGGCCCGTTGGTCTGCAGCATGAGGAAGCAAGTGGTGCAGATGGAATGTTCAGGGGAGAAGGATGCCTAGCTGCAAGGCAGCATGGTGCCAGTTGCTTTTTAACTCTGAGTTCATTCTGTTTGTACTTGGGATGTTAGTGCAGATAGAGAAGGACATCAGCTAGTCCTGAACATCTGTAGGAGATGAGGGCCTCATCCTCACATGCTCAGCAAAAGGAAGGCTCTCATCTGCAGGCTGTGAAGCTTGCCACAAGGGGCTAGGCCAGCACTCATGGGGCTTGATGATTTAGGCAGTGCAGGGCATGCTCTTGTAGTTTTGCTCTGTGACCTTCTTCATTTGGCCATGTTCTTATCCTCAGATATTCTGTCCTGGGGCCCAGGCTGTGTGTGTGGTTTTTCTCTTGGCAAGACCAGCTATGTATGGAATGTCTATGTGCTCTGGCTGAGAAGGTCTGTCATGTGGCCTCAGTGCTGGAGGCATGAAGGCAGGGAAGTGACTGTCCCATCCAGAGTGGGAAGATCAGACGGCTAGCTCACAACAGAACTGTGTGTTTTTAAAGTATGTAGTGTAAAATTCCCAAGCACTTATTGGTAATAAAAGAATTTGCTGTTTGGTTTTCTCTCCCCTAAATGACTAGTAAAAAAACCAGTCATTATTGTAAAAAACTTGGCTTGCCAGCAAAATACCTAAATTGGAAAGCAGTTTCCAAGAGTTACTTCAGTTTGATCTTCAGTCTCAGGTGTCTCAGGCTGTTGGATTTCAAAGGCACACCTTTGGAGAGAGGGCCAGGCCTGGCTGCATCTCTGGGCATTAGGACCATACCTTTCCAGGATGCAGCCCATATCTCCTCATCTACTGTGGTCTTCCTGAAGCAGCAGTCACAAAAAGAGGGGCAGGGTGTCCCTTCCTCCTTCTCTCAGTTTGCTAAAGTGCAATTTCCTTGGTCAGTAGCTGTGAGAAAAACTAAACTAATAAAATGCTCAACAGCTAACATATTCAGGAGGAGTGAGTTTTTAAGTCTTGGTCAACATTGCCTTTTAGACAAAAGGCCCCCTACTTCATGTATCTGGTACAGAGTCTCACTATGCAGATCAGACTTGTAGCAATCCTCCTATTTTCAACCTCCCCAGGGTTGGGATTACAGGTGCGCATCACCACACCTGGACTCAAGGCCTACTACTTCACTGGATGAATTGTGTATCTTCTCAGTCGAGAATTTAAACATTTAATGCATTCAGGGTTATGCACATGGTTCTTTAGGTAAGATTTGGGTGGTTGATTTGTAACTAGCCGTCTACCTCTGAATGTATCCCAGGCTTTTAGAACATTTGGACATTTTTTTGAGATAATGATTTAGTTTTGTAGGAAAAAAAAGTTCAAACACTCCTTTGGAAATTCACTTAACTACATTTAAAAAAAAAATAAATGAATTCAAAAGGCCCATTGAGCCATGTGGGTGACACATTTCTATAATCCCAGCACTCAGGAGGCTGAGGCAAAAGGCTCACTTCAAATTCAGGATCAGGATGGGCTACATAGTGAGTTCAAGGCCAGCCTGAACTACTTAGCAAGATCTTGTCTCAAAAGGAGAATTAGAAAAAGAAGAATCCCATCAAACTAGCAACATGTGAAAGTCAAAATTATTTAAAGGGATATTTTGAATGTTCCTATTTTATACTCTCTTGGGGTTCATTGTAAATTTTGGTTTGGATGAAGGAGGTCTCTCCTACCTCCTAAACAACCACCACCAAGTACTGGGAATTAAACCCAAGACCTCAATACTGAGCTTCAACCCCAGCTCTTTTTAAAATTTTTTAATTTGAGGCAGGGTTTCACTTCAGTGGCTAAATTGTTCGAGCAAGGTCAAATTTGAGATTTTCCTGTCTCAGCCTTTCAAAGTGCTGGGATTACAGGAATGTACCAGTCATACCCAACCTTGGGTGAAAATTTGCATTTAAAGAATTTATCACCATTTAAGTTTGTCCTGGGGTTTAACATTTTCATGACAGTATCTTCCAAGTATGAATGAATGTGATATTCCCTGTATCCCTGTAGTACCAAAACCAGTGATGGCTTCATTAATTCCTGTGGCAACGCATAGACATAATAAGTAGTTTCTGCTGAAGAATTAACATGCATATTCTTCAAATACCTGGATTATGGTAGTAGGCTCTACACTGACCTTTTTCCCTCTGGGGCAGTGTTGTATTGTCTAGGTGGGTGATGGTGGACCTTTTGGAGCTTTCAATGATGACAAATAGCCCACGGTGACATCATGCCATAGATTCACACACACTGGTTTTGGGCTTAGGCAGTTCTAGGAACTATTGTAAGCCATCCAGGGGCACTAAAGAAATACATACAAGGCCATATGGGTGTATGTAGTATGTATTGGATACTCACAGAAAAGTCTTACATTCATTTGCAGAATTTAGGTTTTTGAGCTCAACAGTTAAGAAAAATGTGATCTATTAGTTTTTCAGGCCAATGAGGATGGGTTTTTGTGAATGAGTAAATTGTGTCTTGAATCTTGGAAACTTGCACTCTTTGTTGGGTATGGGCCCATTCTCTGACTTTCCTAGTTATGTTCGCATTGATATTGTTAGATAGCCTTGTAAATAAAAGAATAGGTTATATAATAGAGATACAACACTTGAAATTTTACTTTAAAAAAAATCTATAGCTCTACATACATACATATATATATATATATATATTTAGTTATATCACCTGACAGATTTCTTCTACACAGTGTGGAGATTGTTTTATACCACAGATTATTTTTATAAAGCCTAGTGAGTTTGAATAAGAATGCTTTTGTAATCAGAGCTGATGAGGTTTACCTTTCAGGATAACTGTACACTGGAGCATGAGTGGTGTGGAACTATTAGCGCTCACATAGACTCTTGTATACACTGGCAGCCTGCAGTCAGTATCTAGGTCTCCTTTGGCCCAGACTCCACTTGGGGCAGTATAGAGAGCCATGCTTCGATTTGACTCTTTTTGGATTGGAAAGAAAAGGGTTGGGAGAGGGAGTGGATCTACAGTGTGTTTGACCTTAGTGCTTTTCAACTAAGGGTTCTGAGATTAACAATTCACTTGTAAGCACCTATCACAGAATATAAGTGCATAAGGGTGTTTGAGGAGAATATACTGTGTGGGGTGCAGATTGGGGTAGGATAGGACTGGAAGAAATATGATTTACATTATAAAATCTTTGAAATGAGGATCTGGTGTTTTGAGTTCGACCAAATTGAACCCTAGGACCAGATTTTCCAGTTGAGTAATTCTTCAGAAACAGCAGAGAGGGCCATGTGGACACAATGGTCCAGTTAATTAGAGAACTGCCAGGCACATGTTTCTCCTGTGGTCATCTCCAGTTTGAATATGAGCACAGTTGGGCTGGCTTGCTGCCCAGTAACAGGAAACCCTTCACATGTCCACAGAGGTTCCCACAAAGGTCATTGTCACTGCCATTGTGTGGGAGGCAGTCTTCACTTTAGCCTTTTTGTTTTCAGGTAGATGGTTATTAGGGGGGAACTTCTAAGGAGGGAGGGGAAGTGAATAATTAAGCTAAACTATAGTACTCTCAGAGTCTAAGGTGAAGGCCTGTCCTGGACATCCTGCCTGCTGGCTTAAGGCTGTGGCTTCCAAAGGGACACTGGATATAGTTTTGCTATGAGATTATTTTATGTTATTTTAAAACAGCTGTGCTTTCTGTTCATTCTGTTTGGGAATGTAGTTTTATATTTCAGCACTTTCATAATGGTAATAAACTTAGTTCTTGGAGCACTACGGGAATCAACTTAGTCTTGGATCTAGTACTCTAGTAATCAACCCATTGTTCTTTTTTCTGTTCCCCATAAAAGAACATTTCTTGCTCTCCAGCCACTTGTCTTGGAATGTAATTCTGTTGTGCCTTTGTTTTTGTCACCCACTTCCCCCAAAAGCAACTGCTGTAAGCTTTTTCCTATGTGTCTTTTCTAGCCCCAGCTCCTTTACACTCTTCCTTTTTTTCCAGCTCCAATTACTGGATACATTTCTGTGATCCAGGTATTTTAAGAACCACTTACCTCAGACCTTATGTTGAACAGTGTCACCATCTGGGTCCTCTTGATACTCAGACTTAACATACACATACAGGAGCCCTGCCTTGTGGAGGCACTTGTCTCAAAGCAGAACTCTTCCCAAGGACTGACACAGGAGCGTATCCTAGTGCTGTGCAGGGTTGCCATGGAGTCTCACCTGAGCGGTGGTGCTTCCTGTGTTCCTCTGAGTTCTGCTTTTTTCAGTATTCTCGCACTTGCCTGAAGAGGCAAAATAACTTGACTGGCTGGTCTTACATGCAAATTAGTTCCAAAGATGAGATCTTTATAACACATTTCTAGTTGCTAAAGCGCAAATGTAGAACATTTGTTTAAATGGCAGGATAAAAACTCACCATCCACCACAGTGCATTTTGGGAAGATAACTGTAGCATATGTTGCTGTGAAATCAGGCTTTGTGGGATGTGGCTGTTTGTCACGTATTTTAAATAAATAAGTA